CCCCCCTCTACCTCCAAACTGAGGCTTCTCCATTTCTACACTTGGCGTTGTGGATAAAGCCCAAAGCAGAGCAGTAGAGCGCAGTAATGCAGCAGTGAACCGAGTCCTAGCCGCGGTTGTAAAAGTAATGTTAGGGAGAGAACGGGGACAAAGCCATTGATTTCTTTATTATTCTAGAGACTTTGAGGCTTTTGATTGCCTGCGTTTAGATTCACGTCCATTTTGCACTTACAAGGCAGCGCTGTTGATGGAGACAGAGGAAGCTTCTTGACTAACACCACCCCGCCATGTTTGCCTCTCTGGGTTTTTAACAGAACATCATGTTCCTCACAGTGTGAATTCACCGGTCAGACACTCCTGCGCCATGGTTTGTCCGATGTACAAACACTCAGAAGAGACAGAAGCTGCACAAAGTGGAAGAATGTATTTTATTTGGAAGGAATCTGCCAGTTTCTGCCTCTTGTTTATCCGCTGTGATGCTTTCACGCGTTCAGTATTGACAGCCCCTCCCCCTTATCCCTCCTTCCTTTCACTCTTCTGCGTGGAATAGGCATTCCTGTGGGAACGGTTTCCTCTGCAAACTGTCAGCTTATCAAAACATGCCAAATACAGCCGATGTAATCTTTTTTTATTATGATTTTTTTTATGGAACAGCCGTTCAGTGGAAAACAGCAGTCCCTCCTTCCTCACTACAATTAACAGGTACAAAGTTCTTTTATAACATTGCTTTCAAGATGTTAACATAATGTATATAACAGAGAAATGTGAATATGTATTTGTTCGAAATCAACAAAAGAGTAGTGCTCCGAGTTTGTGGTTTAAAAAAAAAAAAAAAAAACTGAAAAGAAGAAAGAAAGAAACTACTTGCCTCCGTCATGTTTTTATTTTCTACTTTTTTATTTTTCTGATGCGGTGTGTATGTATATGACTATCAGTGAGTGCGTATGTATGTGTGTAGGTGATTAATACTGTATATCTGGTGTTCTCTGAGATGGAAAAGTGGAAGATGTCCTGGTTTGATCCTTTTCTTCTGACTCTTTAGACCCGGCACACAGTACCTGTGGGTGTTTCACATAACTACGCCAGAGAATGGGTTAGCGACTGCTGAATGTGATTTTACTGAGAGAGAGAAGCAGTGCTGGGCTGGCTTTTTGTACGGGTTAATTTAAAAATACAAAAAACTACAACAACAAAAAAAGGCCATATAATTAAATTTTCTCTGTTGTGTCAGCAGGTATGGGAGAGTGGAGCCTTGGTTTGATGGAGAAGCATTGCCTGTTGTTGTATATGAGCAGGCTTTCTTTGTCTACACTGATGTAGACTTTTTTTTTTTTTTTTTTTTTTTTTTTTTTTGCATTTGTTAACAGTAAATGACCAAAGCTTCGAGGTGTTTGATGGATATCATATGCAAACCTCATCATCACTGGACAAGACACAATGTAGCCCCCCCTCCCCCCTTTTTTCCCGTCAATTTGGATTCTGCTGCTTTGATTCTGCCGTTTGTTTTTGGCGCGTTGCTCTTTCCTCGCGCGTTACGTTCTAACCACAATCTGTCCTTTAGAGTGACCGGACGTTGGGTCACTTTGGAGATGTCTCCACTTTTTTTTGTTTCTGTGCCTGAAGTGCTATCACTCGTTTACAGGAAGAACAAAGCATTGCAACCGATAGCTATGCACCTTACTGAAACAAGCATTTCCTACCGTAGACTTGGGTATGTTAGAATTAACACTGGAGCGACACGAAATCATTCATTTCACAGGCAAAGTGTTTGTAGTTACTTTACTCAAGTGATGAAAGAGAAGCCCCTTCAGTTAGTCTCGTGAGTTTAGTTGATTTCTGATGACCTCGCTCAGCTTTTAGTCTCATTCTTGGAAAAAGAAAAAGTTTTTTTTGTTTTTCCTCCATTCACTGAATACTTTATACCAAACTTAAGGTGCCTCGTGTATATATTTTCTGCAGTGAAGATTGCTCCTTTGCTGTTTAACAATAATAACCTTGTTAACCAGGGTTTTTTAAAACCTTTTTTCACATTTTATAAAGAAAAAAAAAAAAAGTTTACTGTATTATAAATGACTTTTTTACACACATAGATCAATTAATCAAATTATTCCAGGAATTTGCAAATACAATCTAATTTAGCACTTTATGTCAAATTTACTTGGAGTGAAAAGGCCATCAGAAACTGTCTCAGTCAGACCCGTGTTGTATTTGGCGATGGGATCGGTCCCCTGAATGTACCAAGAAAGTTAACAGCTCAGGTTCTTCACGAACAACTGGACCGTAGTGGATACCCGTTGACGACGACACATTGTACACGCCTTCTACCTTCTTTGTGATGTCTCTCTGTCTTCTACACCAACTGATCCTCAGTATAAATACTATGCCAATCTTCTTCAGGTGACGCGCCCCTCCTCCTCCCCCTTCCTCTCTGTGCTGTCAGCTGACATCTGTCAAACTGTTATAAACAACCTCCAGCTTGAACTCTCAG